ATGATAACAAGCCCAAAGAAATTGCAGTAGACCTACCTAACGAATGAGCTGGACAACGTGTTCAGAAGCACACTACAACTCGGCTCGAAGAAAGTCGACTGGCTGTTAAAAAGATCGTCTACGTCATCTTTAGTTGATCCTTCAGAACGACATTCATGAAATTCTGTAAATGTCAGATGGAGATTGGGAATGAAGCTGTGGTCGACTTCGACAATTATCTGTGCGATGTGTATGCCTACATGATAGGGCAGGGCAATAGCGTAACGATCAGCTAAGACATAGAGATTGAATAATCCGTTTTTTATTAGAAATTATTGATGATAAATCCTTATATAGCAATGGATCTTTGGCGGAATATGAGAAACAAAGGAACGTTTTGGTGCTTATTTCAAATTGATTTTATTCACAAAAATTTATTAAACTAGGTTACTATTAGTTGAAGCTTTAGTTTCTAAGAATGCAGCAGATCTTGAAAGTTCCATTGACAAACCACTTAAAATGACTTCAACATGCCTCCAAAAAGCATAAATTTAATCTATTAAAAAATACGGTCAAAAATTTAACCTCATATTTTCAATATTTATGAGAAGCCTCGGAATATGTACAAAGTAAACCGGAAGCAAAGGATTACTCACAAATATGCCCACCTCTCTTAAAACCGCTTTGCCTGATCTGATAATAACGATATTTGACAACGAATAACCTTAGGTTAGTTCAGTGCAGAAAAATAAAGGAGGCTAATTAAGTCTTTCGGTATCATCTGTTTCAAAGAGACAAAACTATAAGGAGGGTTCCTTAGACGTGAACACAGCAAATACTAGCAAACCAATTTTAACTAACTGACGATAAAAACCATGAAGTTGCCATGGGAAGCGCAAACAACAAACAAAATACATCAACATCACTTATGCCAATTTAAACTGTTTAAGTAAACTATATAAGGGGCTCTGATCGTCGTTTTGAGAGAAGCACTTCAATTATCTCGGTCACCTCATCCGCTGGTCCCTTTAAGAATGATCTACTAAGGTACCTTAATGTGGTCAAAGGCATACAGATTCGAACCTCGGTCGGACAAGCTTTATAACCACACCAACAGGGATTACAAAGTCTGTTTATTATCATACTGAATAAGCGGCTCTCAGGTGAGTAAAGACGAATTGTAATTCTATGAGGCACTTGCATCAGATAACATGGCCCATATATCTAATTCATTCTGATATAACCACATGCTGCCTTGATGTTTGCCAGTGAGCGAATTGCTACCCTTGTTTCGGCTTTTAGCATTCAAGAATCCTGAAGTTGATTTCTTGCTCAATGAAATTAGCGGCTAAGAAAACGCTTATCTTTTTCTGGATTCAAAACCAGCGACGTCAACGCTGTGCCACCGCGCTTCATTCTTTTATAAGAGAAAAACGAATACAGTTTCACAGAAAAGAAGCATGATATTATACGATATTATACACAGTTTTTGTCACATATCCGTAGAACAAAATATCGTTAATTAGGTAGTGCTTGATAATTGAAATATAGACCTGCCGGTTCACGAACGAGTTCTTCAAATGGCACAAATGGTCCCATCGATTGTATATTTAAACAACTATTTTAGGAACGATAACAATAAAATAATTAACCTTGTTAAACAGTGGTATTTAAATGAAAAAGGTACACAATCTGGAATCGAAGCAAATGCAATATTAGAAGAAAAATATAGCAAACAACGCAAAACTCTCTTCTATTACGGCTTTCGATTCAAGACAAACAGAAGAGTCATTTAAGTATCTTTTACAAGGCATTAACTCTTGAATGAAGTCCTCTGACTATTCTGTCTACAACATTCGAATAAAACTTTCTTAAAACCATATAGTTAGCCTGTTTAAGGAAGCACTAATGTCAATTAACACTTTTCCAGTAGTTTCTTTTGACAAAATAATGTTCCTATGACACTGAATTAAAATAACTGTATAAGGAAACGATCTGTGTTTCTCAAGAATTGTGCAGCTGTCAAATTTACCACCAACGATTTTTCAAATGCATAAGAAAACAAGTCATCGTTTTACAGCTATTCACCTTAATCGACATAAAACGTCAGCGAAATTTAAACGTAATATAAAGTAAAGTCAACGACATTTCTAAAGGCTCTACTACAAAACAGAATGATAACATTCAGGATCTGCATAAAATTCATTCAAAGTTACGTTTCACATATGAAAGTAATGACTAAAGAAATGTCTGATGTTTCCCTGAAACTAATTCTTACATGCAGACAGTCGTCATTCTAACTGAAAAATATATATGTGAATTTCAGAACTGAAACTGAAAAGTGATCGCTTCAACTGTAGTATATAACATATAATACAATAAAATTTAAAATGTTAATTCGAGCCGTCCTGTAATTGATTGTAAAGTTGCATGTCTTACTGTCATAGGCAGTAGCGCTACTTACGATGATTTTCTGACACAGTATTAAGCAGCAATCACAAACATATATATTTATTTGACATACATATTTAAACGAATTCTATGTATG